TATTTAGTACAGGGTCTACAGGGTACAGGGTCTACAGAGTGTCACTATGTAGATCAGAGTCATAGTGATTTTCCTGTTTTCAGCCTCCAAAGTGCTGGGATTACAGGTATGCACCACCAAGCCCAGCCTCCATCGCCGTCTCAGTGTGCCCTGAGTCAGGGCTGGCAGGGCAAGCTGGGGATTGAAGTTGCACTCTTCCTAAGCAGGCGCTTTAGTCTGCTGATCTATTTGGCTGGCCCTTTGGAGAAGAATTTAAAGAGGAAAAAGAATAAAATAAACTTGGTGTCATAGAAAATAAATTAAACCCAAGACAATGGTCTCTGATAGAAGAATAGCTGCTCCTTCTGCTACAGGAAGTGAAAGGAAATGCAAACTTTGACACATATGCAAAGTTGGTGATAAAAAGGAACCAAAATTCTTACCAGATGAGATAGTCTTCTTTCCAATTTGAGACAAGTCTGTCATCCTCAAAGATGTGAGTTGAATCAAACTATATCTTTCATTAAGCCTAAAATCATGGGATTGAATGTAGTGGTTCTCAATTGTTCTGGACCATGATGCAGTAAAAAATACATTTTTGTTATGATCCACTACAAACATATACACATACACATAGACAGAGCATAAGAGACAGAGAGAGACAGAGAGAGAGAGAGAGAGAGAGAGAGAGAGAGAGAGAGAGAGAGAGAGAGAGTATTGAAATCAAAGCTCAATGCTTATCGCTATTAAGAATGAACTCTTCTTTCTTGTTCAAGGCAAACAAGACTGGCAAGAATGAGAGTAAACTGGAGCACTGGACTGAAGAGGATTAGGGGATGCCATCTATGTCAAGGAAAATACAACTCCCAAGCAGGGGAAGAGATCGTCCTACTTGAGAAATTCATGTGTAGTAGGAATATTAGAAATAAACTAAAGGGCTAGTGAGATGGCTCAGTGGTCTAAAGCACCTACTTAGAACAAGCTTAGCAAAGCACAGGGACCGCGGTTCAATCCCCCAGCACCACATGCCAGCCAGCCCCGCCCCCTGGTGGGCTGAGCTGGACACACACACACACACACACACACACACACACACACACAAATAAATAAAATTAAAAAAAAAAAAAAGAAATAAACTAAAAACCAGGGGTTCAATCCTACAGAGTGTTATGCTGGCCCCGTCTTCGGGGTGCACTGAGATGGCGATTGAGACTGGATGTGGTGGGGTGTGCCTATAATCCCAGGGCTTGGGAGGCTGAAAACAGGAGGATCACTATGAGTCCAATCTGCATAGTGAGACCCTGTAGTCCTTGTACTAAATAAATAAAAAAAGAAATAAACTAAAAATTTATTTGTGATGTTGTGCATTTACAAATCATACTTTTAATAATTTGCTTTCTTAATATTCTCTTTTCATTGTATAAGGAATTGAGCATTGATATATAATTGTATGTAAAACACGTGTACATTTTTCTTTTGCTATATGGTCTCATTATTTAATCCAGGTTGGCCTTGAACTCACAGTGATCCTCCTGCTTCAGCCTTCCGGGTGCTGGGATTGCTGGGATTGTAGGCATGTGCCACCATGTGCCTAGTTTAAAACATACATACTTTAGAAAAGGACTGGAAATGTCATATAATCATTATCCTGGTTAAGAAATAAAATATTTTGAGTAATTTGGAGATCTTCATTCCTATCTGTCTTTCTAGGCCCTAGAGACGACCATTATCAAAATTTTAATTTAATACTTTTTCTCTATTATCTTACTACCTATGTATATATACCTAAACAATGTAGGTTGGTTTGTCATAATTCTGTATTTTGTATAAATGAAATTCACCTTTTGGCTCCCTGAGCAGCACCATGGCGGTAGGCAAGAACAAGTGCCTTACGAAAGGCGGCAAAAAAGGAGCCAAGAAGAAAGTGGTTGATCCATTTTCTAAAAAAGACTGGTATGATGTGAAGGCACCAGCTATGTTCAACATAAGAAATATTGGAAAAACACTTGTCCCCAGAACTCAGGGAACCAAAATTGTATCTGATGGGCTCAAAGGTCGTGTGTTTGAAGTGAGCCTTGCTGACCTGCAGAATGATGAAGTTGCCTTTAGAAAATTCAAGCTAATTATTGAAGATGTTCAGGGCAAAAAGTGCCTGACTAACTTCCATGGCATGGACCTCACCCGGGACAAAATGTGTTCCATGGTCAAAAAATGGCAGACCGTGATCGAAGCTCATGTGGATGTCAAGACTACCGATGGTTATTTGCTTCGACTGCTCTGTGTTGGCTTTAGTAAAAAACGCAACAATCAGATACGGAAGACCTCTTACGCTCAGCACCAACAGGTCCGCCAGATCCGGAAGAAGATGATGGAAATCATGACCTGGGAGGTGCAGACAAATGACTTGAAGGAAGTGGTCAATAAACTGATTCCAGACAGTATTGGGAAAGACATAGAAAAGGCTTGCCAAT